AGGGGAAACTCCGCTTGATCCGCCATACAAATTAATTTCAAAACGTTCATTCATAATAAGAAGTGAATAAGGATGTGTCATAAAATTAAAACTATCAATATTATAATGCCATTTTGTTTTTTGTTTTCTAGGCTATATTGAGTTATATTTTCTTATACTTTTATTAATAAAATACCCACCTAAAACCACATTCGAACTTAGTCCTCAAACAAGACTACACATTAAAAAAAAAGATATAAAAATAATAACAAAAATAATAAACAGTACCTAGATTGTATGAAAAAAAAAACAGTTTGTGCTGGAATTAAATTTAGACGGGAAACGGAAAATGGTGACAAAACTGCATTGGGTTTTCGCTCCCTCGCCCGTCCGCCAGTGTTCGACGCCTTGTTTTGGTATTCATGAGGCGAGTCCCGTGGTGGCCGCTGTTTAATCATCTCCAGCTAAGTAAAAATGTTCCCTTTTTAAAACTCTAATCAATTTAAAGGCGAGGAGAGAGAGAGAGACAGACAGACAGAGAGAGATCGACAGACAGACAGAGAGAGACAGAGAGACGGAAGGTACGGGGCAACTTAGATGAGTGTTTTCGCTGCTAGTCTGACGCACAATAAAGCTTAAGGTGTGGTAGTGTTTCAGTCTTGAGCGTTGGATTGTGTTTCTTTGTGTAGGTAATTTGTGTTGTAGTTTGTGTATAAAGAAACACTTGAAACATGAGCATTAAAGGTTACAATAAATGTGTCTACTAAAAATCTTTGAGATAATAATAATAATAATAATAATAATAATAATAATAATAATAATAATAATAATGATAATAATAATAATAATTTAGGATCGTTGAAACACATTATAACCCTCACACTTATCACCTGAGGAGATCAATTAAGAGTTTACCTGCGAAGTTGTCCTCACTCCAACTAACACACGATAATAACAATTCTAATCTGATCATCAATGGCTATATCTAGTTCTTAAGGTCATATTAACATCTGTAAACACTTTTAATTAACACAGGTAAGAAATTAACACGTTTAGTAAGTGATATATAATCTTATATAACTAAGGTAATACGTAATAGAAACATCAATTACCGTATATATTATTAACCTTAATTAATTCATATAAAACAATCTTGGTAATTATGTCAGGGTATTTATTCATCAACGATTTAATGTATGTTTGTGTGTTTGGTATTTTGGGTTGAGTTTTTTTTTCAAAGTTTTCGTCTACTTTTCTGACTGCCAAATTATCCCGAGTCAAATTATCTTCCAGTGAGTAAGTTATTGATTCTCACTAACTCAATTCTCTGAGAGACTCGGGGAGAAATGTGTGGTAGGGGGAGGTGAGGTGGGGAGGGTTGAGAAGAGATTAAGAAGGGGGGAAATGAGAGACTGGGTGTGGAGATGGGAGAGATAGAGACAGATAGAAGAGTGTACGTAGAGATAAACAGGAAGAAACAGGGAGACTGAAAGATACATACACACACACACACACACAGACACACACACACACACACACAAACAGACAGACACACACACACACACACGTATTGACACATAGAGTTGACAAACACCTAACCTAAAGTACAATAGAAAAGGAGAAAGAGAGAGACAGAGAAAGAAATAAAGAGAGGAAAAGCAAGAGAAAAAGAGAGAGAAGGAAAGCGGGGGGAGGGGTGAGAAGGGGGAAATTCTAAATTATTCAGCACAAAGTGAGATCTTATTTTCCACGCTGCCGATCTGCTTGTCAACCGATAACGAATTCTTTCCCGATTAGCGGTTCACAATATCACCCATCGGCTCTGCCTTCTTCCTGATGGTTAAAACAAACCCCTAATTGGCCGAGCTTCTTAATTACGGTTTAACCCAAGTAGACCAGGGAATTGAGACCCCTTTATGAGTTGATAGATGGTGGGTAGGGGGAAGGGGAGGGAGGGGGAAGGGAAGGGGAGGGGGAAGGAGACTTTAGAATGTCAACTCAGCTTAAATTTAATATTACTTGCTGGTGTGTGTATGGTAACCTGAACCCTGAGGGAGGGGTGAGAAAGGGGGAGAGAGGGGTGATGGTGAGGGGGTGTGGGGCGATAAGGGTTTGTGGGGGGGGAGAGAGGAGGTGATGGTGATGGGTAGGAAAGGGTAGCGGGGGTGAGGTGAGGTGGGTGGTGATGGATGTGAAGGGGGGAAGCAAAGAGAGGAGATAATGTGGAGAGGGAGGAAACATGGGAAGGAATAGGAGAAATAGACTGAATGATGGAGAGGAGAGAGAGAAAAGAGAGGGATTATACAGAAGGGTAGAGAAGGGGGTTATGGGATATGAGGAGAAGGGGGAGTTAAAAAGAAGGAGGAATAGTGAAGATAGAAGGTAAAAGGCTCATAACATATACTGTGTTTAGGTGTGATATTACTCAGTGTGTCTCGGGCAGTTCTAGACAGGTACAACCCATGAAAACCTCTATTTCATCTGATGTTAATATATTGCTCTTTCTGTTGGGGAGGTGAAGACAGTCGAGTGCAGTGCCTCCTTATGTACCGTAAACTTAGTGTCGTGTGCTGTATCCGCGCTGCCTCTAATAAATCAACAGACCCTTATAACCTTATATTATTTCCACGGGAGGAACCACCAACCCACCATCCAAAGTCATAGAGTTTCGTAAGTAATTTCTTCATCCATAACAGTTTAAAAAGTTTCTACTGATTCTCAGTGTAAGAAATCGACACACTATTAACTGTTATCATGAGATTGAAGTTAACGTCCTTAAGGTAAAAATTCGGTGAACGGACCTTTTGATAACCCGGCCAAAGGAGGGGGGGGGGAGGGGGAACAAACCTTAATCCATCAGCCTCGCTTCTGTCACCCGCTGCCTCACACAACAATCACAAACGACCAATTATTTCCTCCAAAATATGTTGGTGTCACAGCGACCGCCTCGGGACTCCCTGGTTGGCCGCCTTCATGGTTCGTTTCTATATCAGAGTTTATTCAGTGACGTTCTTGTTAGTGGCGTAGCGAAACCATGATAGTTTGTTTTGTTTATGTGAATGACGTCATTATATTGGCAGTGGTTTCATGTTATAGGTTCATAGGTTCGTGTGAGGTTGTGTTGAGGTGTCGATACTCGGGTACAGATATGAATAGAAGTTCCATTTATACTCCTGTTCGAAACTGTTCCAAAACCTGAATGAGTGACTATAGATTCAGGTGAGTAAAGTGATTCTTATGGTTGACTTTTCATATATTATCTACTGAGCAGTTCCCTGAATGACTTACAATTTCATATAATAATTACTGACAGGAATGATAATGTTTTACGTCGCAATATTTACAACTTGTAGCTCCCCACGGCAGAGTTCGAGACATTCTCAGAAGGAAACACTCCCTTCGAAACTTGATAATTTCTTTAGCTTCAGCAATTCAAACTTAATTACAATCTCCAATGACATAAATACATAAAATCATTCTTCTGGTTGAAACGGATATGAGTAATAACCAAACCTTCTTTTAGCAATTAGGATCAGCGCACACAAAGACGCTCAACTTAGCATTTTAAACTTCAACTTGTCCGATTATGTGACGAGTGAGTCCTTGATTGATCCACGAGTCGTAGGCCAGTAACGTGCTAACCATGGCGGTTGAACACTGTGGTGACTGGAGACGATCTATCATTTAGCGCGACCACCTCCAAGACTCCGACCAGTACTGAGAGCGAAGTCCTTCTTAATCCTCGGGTAAGTCGTGTTCCTCAGTGGAGTGTTGCTTGCGTTTACGCTAGAGTGTTAATGAGCCTCCTGGGAAAGATATACTGATACGCCTTACTAGTTGATTGTGTGTTGTTGTTATCGCCTTTTGTCTTAATATTGATTTTAATATTTTTACCTCGTTGACTTTATTTCTGTTCTTGGTAATAATTGTTTCCGATTTCTTTTGAATTTAGTGGATTAATTATCATGATGATTTTAATTGTTTGCATTATTTTTTATTCTGGTTTATTTCTTATATCCTCTTGTTGTTTGTTATGGTAAACTTAGTTGTGGGTCTCAGGTCATAATATAAACATCTCGAAACATTACATATAAGATCAACACAAGACGTTATGTTTGTTGTCTACGTGGTTAGGTTAGGTTAGGTTGAGCAGAACTTGTTTACCTAAAGAGACACTACTGACAAACAGCCATCACGCCACCCCTCCCCATCACGCCACCCCTCCCCATCACGCCACCCCTCCCCATCACGCCACCCTTCCACCTCCATCATGCCACCCCCCTCATTCTATTATGCCACCCTTCCGTATCTATTACGCTAACCCCAACTAATCACGTCACCCCCACTCCACACGCCACCCCTCTCACTCCATCACGCCACCCCCACTCCACACGCCACCCCTCTCACTCCATCACGCCACCCCCACTTCAAACGCAACCCCTCTCAATCACGCCACCCTCTCACTCCACATGCTACCCTTCCACCCCTATCACGCCACGTTCACTCCACCACTCCAAGCCTTCCTCCATCATACCAACCCTCCTCCATCGTTCTTAATAATTATGAGGAAAAATAAAGACTTCTAGAGATATTTCATTCCAAGGGCATTTAATCTTGATGTTACGAGTGTAGTATATTTATGGTCAAACTTGAGTATAATCATTAGTAGTGTATACAAATATCTGTTAATACACACAATACACATTTTAGATCATGTGAATTTTAGACAGTGGTTAGGTGATGTACAATCCTGACAGAAGTTTCATAGTGTTAAAGTACAATAACCACAACATACAGTTTAAAGAAAGGTTGGGTTAGGTCAGGTTGTAGCTGAGTTAGGTAAAGTTAGGTTAGGTTAGGTTAGACTATAGGTTAAGAACGTGAGAATAGAGGAAACTGCAGCGGAGCTCATGTATACTGTACTAGACATCCCCCCCGTTTACACCCAACCCCTATCGCTCATATATCCGTCCAACCTATATTTGAAACAATCCAGCGTGTTCTAATTAATGATGATGTTTGGTAACGTGTTCCACTCACCCACTAATCTATTTCCAAACCAGTGTTTACCGACAGTGTCTCGCGCCTAAGTCTAAATTTGTCTAATTTAAAAACATTGCTGCGAGTTACTTTAGGAAAGGTCCTGACTATCTCCTCTGGTCCTGAGGCCACGAGTATCCTGGCGGAGACGTGTCATTGCTTCAGGCCATCAGTAACTGGGTGTCGCCACTAGACCCAGGCGTCGGGGGCGTCTCAATCTTGGTATCCTCCTTGTCGTCCTCTTCTAGTTTATCTTTCTTGGTCTTGCACTTCCCATTCTCATCCTTCTTTTCCTTATTCTTCTTTTTGTCGTCAGGAGGTAGAGCCCCCTCACGTTCCAGCACTTGTTCGCTGTTCTTCTGGGCACGGTAGCGGCGGCGGACCACAGCCTCACGCCGACGAAGACACACCCAGAATACGAGGAACACTGGCAAGGCTGCACCTGAGGGAGGGAGAAAGACGGAGGGGTAGCAGGTGGGGGTGTTGTGGAGGGGTGCTAGTGAAGGTGGAGGGGTGCAAATGAAGGTGACAATCGGGCCTTGATGATGATAATGTTGATAGCAGATCCTTACCGAAGATGATGGTGAGGACGATGCCGACGACCTGGTACTTGATGAGTTCCTTGTCAAGAAAGCCGATGGCGATGATTCCTGACGAGGCAGCTGTAGCGACGAAGAGCATCAGACACCAGGAGGAGATGAAGGTGTAGGAGAGCTTACAGTACTTGGCCTCCCGGTACACGTAGCTGGTCTCCTCGTCCATCTCCAGCGGGAAGCGGGCGTCGCACGTCCTCTGTCACGCATGGAGAGGTTGGAGGAGATACAACAGGTGGAGGAGACGAGAGACAACAGGTGGATGAAACGAGAGACAACAGGTGGGGGAGACGAGACACAACAGGTGGAGGAGACGAGACACAACAGAAGTCAAGATTGGTCATGGTGTTGGCTCGAAGGCTAACCTAACCTAACCTACTGTGGGATGGGGATGTTAATCTCCATGTCATCTTATATTTCCCCCATGATGTTAATTTGGATAAACTACTTGCAAACATTTTTTTTAGAGAATTTTATATATTGATAATTAATTTGTGTGTACATTACAGTCTGTGTGTTCCTCTACCTCCACCAAGAAGTATAAAATGCTGGCGACTCCTGCACCTCAGACAGTACTCGTGGCAGTGAGGTAAGTAGTACATGTCCTACCTTAACTAGTATAGGAGTAGTTGAAATGACGTTGTTGTGTTGCAAGATGAATGGCGGAACAAGATCCTCAAACGTGATATGTAACTTAGCTATATCAACATTATTTTGGGGCTCTTGAATTTGCGTGGGACAGACAAACAGAGGTGTTGGGAAATTCTCCGAGAAGTGAAGTATGTGAGGCAGGTGTCCTGTGTAGCCGTGTGGGTACAGTATTGACAAAGTTTCAACACTCCCTTCAGCTGGTTGTGAATGACGGGAGAGAGGGAAGGGAGGGGAGGGAGGGAGACAAGGAACGGGAGGGAGGGAAAGTGGCAGGGAGAGAAACAGTGAGGCCGTCAGGAGGAAGGGAGGGAGAGAGGCAGGGAGGGAGGCAAATAAGGAGGCAGGCAGGGAGGGAGGCAGGTAGAAAGGGGGGGGAGGAGGGAGGAGGCAGGTAGGTAGGGAGGAGAGGGAGGTAGGGAGGCAGGCAGGTAGGTAGGGGAGGAAGGGAGGACAGTTACCACAACAACACCGAAAACAAACAAGAATAGATAAACATAAATCAGTCAACAAAATAAAGTAATTCATTCTGGCAAAAGTTTATGTGTCTAATTATTGTGTTTACTCTGCCAGCTAAGATCAATGTCACCTTCATCAAATATGTAAACACTGAAATCTAGGCAGTAAAAAACATCGTAACACTTGGGAGATGATGTGATAGTTACCACACCGTGTTATTGAAAGATTATCTAGCGTGTGGGGTGATGGCGGGGATATACACGCTCAACACACACACACATGCACGCACACACACACACACACACACACATGCACGCACACACACACACACACACATATACACATTCTCCTCACTGCCACTGAAGCGTTAAATATGCATGTCACTGTCCGCAACGCAGGTGACCCCAACACAGACTGCGCACCTTCACCCTATCGGTATGAACGCGGTGAGTAGCGAGTCAGGTTCTGTACGAGTCAGGTATTTTATAACATAGGAACAATGAACTAAACAATATTATCGACTTAAATCTTTTGAGTAGTCTGGTAATTTGATGAATGTAGCAGTCTTACTTTAACACAAATGTCTATCGTAAATTTGTATTTTCTTCTAAGATACCGAAGGGTCGAGTTACTGTAGCTTGAGACAAACGCTGAGTATAAACAGGTGTCTCGCTCATTAGTAACGCAACTACTGACTCTTGAAGCACTTGAATACATCTAGATCCTTGAATATATAAATTCTCCTAAGTCAAGGTGAGACGGCGGTAAAGACAGGTTAATGAGCAATAAACACCTGGACCAGTGGTTGAATTTCTCACACACACACACACACACACACACATCTCACCCACACACCTCACACACCTCACACACACCTCATCCATACATACATACACACACCTTGTCCACACATAAACACACACACCCACACACACCTCACCCCCACACACACTTCCCATGAGACTCACACAACCGCAGCATGGGGTGACGTTTGTCATCTTCTTGCCTGTATTGGTGTCAATGTACACGTCAGGTTCTTCATCATTACCAGCCATCGGTACTGGGGTTAACTCCTCTTCATTTAACGGGGTATCAGGAGTCTCTGGGGTTTTGTGGGGTGTAGGATTCTCCGGGGGCCTGCTAAGTCGTCCTCCCTCCTGCACCATCCCCGAGGACAATGATCGAGGCATTTTTTTGCTCCTGGAGGTGAGGAATATTCAACATTAGTAACCTCTGTCTTGAAAGAATTGAATGGTGGGCTGATACCCTCTCATTCAATGTCTTCTAATGAGCGGTTATACAATGATTTATTGAATCACCTGAAAATTAGACGACCCCGCTTTATTTCATCTGATGCTTAAACACCCTAATGCTAACCTAATTTAACCTAACCTAACCTGCTCTAACCTAAACTCCCCAAATATTGTGCCTTGGTCTTGGTTGATGTTATTGTTCTAACGCGCCTCAAGCTGGAGTTTTCCTTACGCGTGTCTGAATGTTTTAAACCGTTTAGGGGAAAATTATGTAATAACCATTCACTGACGCAGGAAACAGTTGACTGATTTAGAGGAAAATTCAGTGAGAAATAAAATCACAGAGTGAACTTCCAAAAAATATATCAACTTCATGAATATTTACAACAAAGACATGAAGCTTTGCTTTGTGTATTCGTCAATTTACTGTCTTGTTGACCCAGGATAGTAAAAATAATTACTTCCAGTGACAACATAAGTCATTATCTAACTCTTATTCACTACATCATTTTACTATACAACAGGAAATCCACATGGAATAGTAAATCACCTGGCAGGAATTAACACGTGCCTAAAACTTTTCAAAATATTGTTATGCACATAAAGAGATTATAGTTTAATGTATTGATTCTCTAGCTGTTGCACAATAAGACGAAACATATGGTAAGGTATTTCCTAACTGTTTCTCTGGTCTATTTCCAACCTGTAAATGAGGATTGAGGAAACTGATAAAAACGCTGGGTTTTTTCTTTTCGTTTTGGTTTAGTTGAAACACCGCGAAGTAAACAAAGTCTGAGTCATCACTGAAAAGATAATTACGGTTCATCAACGTAACTCAAAAGATCAATTATAATTCCCTGTACAGAAAAATTAAATCCAGTTTAGATCATAAGAGCGATAAAGGCGAAACCTTATTCAAAAACCTCGATAATAAGATCAAAAAACATATTCGTCATTTATTTCAGAACAGATGATGAAATACCAGTGTTTATATCACACTCACGAGATCACTTAATATATTCTGCATCACGTTTAAGAGTATCCCGTGAAGACAAAAAAAAAAATCCATTAATAACAACTACATCACAGTAAACACAATGGTTATACTTACTAACACAACGCAGCTACACCGCCGCTCAGTTTGGTGAAGATGACACCTTGGCTGGGGAGGTTGTGACGTTTGCCGCCAGTGATAGCTAGTGAATCGACTTGTGTTTACTGTTCGCCTCCCTGGGCAACTAACGACAACCTCATGCAAAAATTAACTTCACAGACACGGACGATCCTCCACCATTATACTGTTTATTTTACTCGTTATGAAGTGTAATTAGAACGGGAGGAGATACGAGTTAGTGGTAGGAGTCCTTTGTGTCAAGAGACTGTTGTATGTTGGTGTTGGTTAAAATATTCCTTTACGTTCATTAATCAATTCGCTGTGATAACTTAATACATTCCCCCAACACATGCACGCAAACACTCAGGTATACGTATGAACTAGATAGGCCCTACACACACATACACACACGTTTCTTCTAACACAGATACACATTAATGTACAGTCAGACCATAAATTCATTTTACCCCGTCAGTGTCTAACAGTATGATAAATCGCCGAGAAATTTCCGTACAAAGCTCACACATGTTGCTTCACATTGGCAGCCCGGCTTTCCTTATATGGGAATATGTGGAGCTACCACCAACACTACACTTGTTGTAATGCAATTTCCTTTTCTTTGTATTCCTAAAATAGTTAACTTTTTCGTAAATTGAAGAATACAGATGGAATGTAAATAGGAAATTGAATATTATTTTTTTTTATCTCTTAAAAGTAGAATCTTGCCTTACTGAAATTTTTTTGTAATATGTTTCGAAATTGATTCGAATATTTCGAAAAACAAGGATAAGGAAAATGTCGTAGTAATACGTTTACCAACCCTCTTAAGACACCAGGAGAGAGGTAGTGTTCAGTTTGAAATCCATCACATCCAGAGGTAAAAGTAATTTATGAGCTGACTGTACACACAAACATATCTACACTTACACGAACCACAGCGCGCCTACAACCATACCAGCACACATTCCATCACTTTCATTTGTACAGATTGGAATGTAAATTTCTTATGGAGTATATACTAAATTCACTTCATTAATACAGAGCAACTCTTAAAAATAAACTCGAGACACTAATAAAGGTATTTTTAGGCCGTGTGAATACTTGTATACAGTGGTACTAATTTACCATAGTTAGTAGTATAAATAATATACATTTTCTATTAATTCTTGGAAAACCTTTACTCAAAGAAAACTTTACTCTTTGGAGTAACTTATCTTATTTAGTTAGCTCCTAAAAACACAGATCTTCCTTTATGCTATTCATGTAAAGTGGTATTTCATATTAATTTTATTCCATTGAATAGTATTCTATATTAAATGCATTCCATGTGAATATAATAGAGGAATATCTATATTTTTAAGAGTTAATTAAAAAAGATAAGTTACCCTCAAAACAGTAACGTTTTCTTTGTATGAGGCTTTCTTACAATTCATAGAATATGTAGATTTTACAGTGCCTACTATAGTAAACTGCTTTTGTGTATATACAATTATTATACATTGCCTAAAAATACCTTTATTTGTATGTTTTCTCTTTCACTAGTAATAAGGTAAAACTTTTATTATCAGTTATGGCAATATGTGATGTAGCACTCTTCAGGAGCTTACATATTTTAAGAGACTTAATCTGTTGTATAACGTTAAGAAGTCCACAGCCAACGGGTCCGACTAATTACCCAAATATAGCCGGAATGAAGTCAAATAATGGTCCTAGATGAATAAATCGGACTGCCAATCACTTCTCGACTAGTATTTGGTGTCACAAAGTTACAAAAAATTGGTAAACTTAATTTAATCTGAGTATCGAGTGCATGTACCTAACCTAACCTAACCTAACATAACCTAACCTAACCTAACCTAACCTAACCTAACCTAACACAACACAACTCAGATTAAATTATGTTTACCAATTTTTTGTGACTTTATGACACCAAATAATAATCGAGAAGTGATTCACAGCCCGAATTACGCTTATAGGACCATCATTTGACTTCATTGCGGCTACATTTGGATAATTAGTCGGACCGCAGCCAACCCCTTAGACTGGTAGAGAGAGAGCTGTCAGGATCGTGTAACCAGATGTTATCTCTTTGATTCCTGAATGACGTAAAGATGTGTTACATATACTCTCGTAACAAGAGAAACTGTGGAATATTTTCACTCTGTAGCTGCCTAACTGTTACCCTTCCAGCCATCGAAGGTTTTCAAGAAATAATACACGAACATTATTTCTAGATAACATTACGCCTCCTCAAGGGTGTGTGAACAGCTACAGGATACACCACTGAACAAAAGTCTAATATTACTCTCATTAGGGACTTATACACCATCAGAAGACATATTCTTTTGTCTCACAAGTAGTAACAAGAGAGATGTTTGTAGCATTTATTCACAATGTAAAGGTACGCCCCTCTAAGAAATATTTACACTATTTTGAAATGGAATCGGTTTTAGAGAAAAAAAAATGTATACCATCACGTTAAGGGCCACTGTTGCAGCTAAACGTCGTCCAAATTATAACTTTGTATCACTGAACGAATAATACATTGCACAGTGTTAAGAGATTATTAGTTAAAATACCTGTTGGTCTGATAATAAAGTTTTGTAGCTAGTAAGCTGATAATTGGTGAAAATTATCTTAAAAATTTTTCATAAAAGCCCGGACCCTGATAGCGTGCATCCCAAAGTGCTAAGAAAGTTGTGTAACGAGTTTGCCAAGACCCTTAAAATCTTGTTCTGCACATGTTTTGATGATCAAACTGTCCACAGTGACTGAAAAAGGGCCTAAATTGTTGATAATCCACATTTTCCCCCCAACGAACAAAACTCTCGCCCTTAATAACTCGGGAAGACAGTTCTGTCCTCACTGGTTCAGGGTTAGTGAGACTGGACTGTCTGTCCAATTAAAATGATAGGGTTATATCAATACTAGTCACTGTAACTAAGCATCGAAACCGTCAGAGAGAGAGAGAGAGAGAGAGAGCGCGAGCGTTGCCATAGATAATTTCTGGGAGACATAAAATACGATAGAGGATAATGAGAAGATGAGGAATTGGCTTCGTGATAAAAAAGGACGAGAAGTAGAAAGAGCAGAGTTACACGGTACTACTGATCGAGACTGTCAGTGTTGCACGTGTCTCACTCACTCTTGATGTTCTTTTGATTAGCAACAGATGAAGGTCCTCCTCCTCCCCCTCCTTCTACTGCTAATACTGCTTTTGTTGTTGTTCTCTTGTCACCCCGGTGTAACATAAGGTTATATCGACAACAGGTTCATATAACTACCTAGTGGACGATAATGTTTTACACCCACCCACCTTATTGCTTCACATTGCCTGTTATTTTCTACCATGTATACGTGACCGTCGCGAAGAATGAGTTTTTGTATATTCCTACATTGATTAATATACATATCCAAGTTTAATATTTAAGTATGTATATTTTTGTATATGTTTATGTATATACAATAAACATCTGTATTTATGAATATTCCTTACATTCGGGCTAAATAAAAAAAAACTATTCCGTTTTCATTACTGGAGACGAGATATCCTTCTAACATAGTTTGTTTATACAGTAAAGCAAACTTCCTTTTGTTACCCTGCAATAATCAAGCATTGGTAATTGATGACGTTAATTGATAAATAAATTACAGAGATTAATAAACATGTAAAAAGAGAAGGAAATGACACAAACGCTATTAATTTTATATTTTTCTTCTCAACATTTTCACTCTTGTAATTACTAATATTATAACATTTTTTTTAGACCTTCTTTATTTGAGTGCAGTGATACACCATTATAGTGTCAAAGCTCATATAAAAATAAAGGAATAAAAACGTTGATTAAAGAATGAATAAGATTTTCCAGGACAATGGGATGAGAAGCTCTAGTTTCCATTTGTTTTAGTTTTTATGTTCAGTATTTATTTGGGTAATTTTGTATCACATTTTATACTCTACACCGTCCGAACCTTAAACTAGAGAGTAAAAATGAAAAATTATTGTTGTTTTGTAACTGTGAAGAAGCATTAGAACAGCTGTAACCTCTAACCTATAATGCACTTAGTGAAGGTAGTACGATTATAGGGACTGTACAATACGTCTTGACCTGTTTGTGCCGACTATCACTACCTCACTGATCCAACTCCCAGCCAATATCTTCCAGTACTTAGCTGAAATTTTTGCGATCCTAAACGAAGAAAATTTATTTACGGTTTAAGTTTGTGATGGAATTCTATACATACAGGTTTCGTAAGTTGATTTATAATTTTCATTGACACAACCAGTGGCGTGTCGTGAGAAAAATGCTAGGGTAAGCAAATGACGCTGGTAAGATCTCTGATGAAGCTGGAGTAAGAATATTAATATCATTTTATTATTCATTTAACATAATTATAAAATAGGAAGTAATTAACAAAATATTATTTTAACTTACCATTTTAAACATACAGTGCATGCACATGCTGAACTTTGCTCCTCCTGCGACTGCATTTTCAGTTTGGGGGTATATTAATCCAAATAAATGCGTCGCACTCACACATCATGACCTCTGAAAGTCAACTGAATTTCTTACGTTGAGTGTTGACATAGACCGTAGCCTCATACAGTGATACCATCTCTTTCAAAACAAAATCTATCAATTCCAAAATGACAATGACATTATTCAAGTACTATGATAATGAGTCCAATAGTCTACGAAACTGTGAAACATAAAAAAGGTCAGATAATTATTATTTACGGATACGAATTTATCATTGAAAAAAAAATTAATGAACTGGTAATGCTGCAGCGAGTATAGGGGGTGGGGGAGGACGCTGTGCTTACGTTGTCCAAATTTCTAGCACAATTAATTATACTGGCTGATAATAACAAATATTATTGAGGGAACATTCCAGCATCAGAATGCTTTCCACAGCTTATTAAATTGATCTGAACCTTATTTACATGGGTTTGGAAAAAGGGGAGTAACATAAGTTAAATTATTTGTTCTCATCTTACGTCTGGCAATGGCATACCATTGACGCTGTGAGCTTGGGGTAACAAGGGTACTGCAGTGGAATATTGCGTACTTGAGGGATAGATTTTCAAGCGGAAAATGCCCGTCTTGCAAGTTTCACAAATTAACTGGGACAAAAAAAAATGCACAATGCTATACACGATTGAATTAAATAATATGTTAATTAAATAAGATATTTTTATTTGGAAGGGAATCATTGTTATAGGGTAAGCAATGCTTACCTTGCTTCTTATGAATACACAACTCAGTACGATTTACTTTACATGATGATGGTGAATTGAATTGAATTGGATACACTGTTGTAGCCAGAGACTTACAGTGTATGTGTGTAACCCCTCATTCCCACCTGATGCCCTCATTACACAACAGCTCCGTCGCCGCCTCTGTCGTGTGATCACTCAGGTATGATGGCCGCCTCTGACTCGTTCCTGTCGACCTACCTACTGTTATTTTTCTTCTCTTATCTGTAATTACTCCATTTCAGACTTATAATGAGTTAAAATACAGAACTTTGCATTGATTTTTTACTCATATAATGTGAGAATTTTTATAAAAATTTTACTGGCAATTTTTACCTTGATTTTGGTTTAACTTCACCGAAGAGTTAAAATACTGGTTGTTATTTGACCTTTACCTCATTAAATCCTTAAAGAGACCAATATGTAAACCTGAATATATTTGTGTGTATTAAACCGAGACACAAACCTTCAAGAACTTCAGATTAATTGACCCAAAGTTGAAGGAGTGAAGATCAGCAACTAATTGACCACAAAGGGATATAAAAACACGCGAACAACAACAACAAAAATGATCACACAGTCAGACACCAACGAAGCAATTGTTACGTTATCGAGAAAGATGATGGACAGGTTCTTCACCTCGTTCAAACTATTAAGCCCTGAGTCGATTGTCACGATAATGCTCTTCGAGGCATTTAACTTACTGTGAGTGGTCTATGTCTGCCGTCCGACTAATTACCGAAATGTACCCAAATGTAGCAAAATATAGCCAGAATGAAGTCAAATAATGGTCCTACATGAATAAATCGGACTGCCAATCATTTCTCGACTAGTATTTGGTGTCACAAAGTCACAAAAAATTGGAAAACTTACTTTAATCTGAGTTAATACATCGCGCGCATGTACCGAGGGAGCGAGGAATTACCCAAATATAACCAAATGTAGCCGCAATGAAGTCAAATGATGGTCGTACAAGCGTAATTCGGGCTGTGAATCACTTCTCGATTATTATTTGGTGTCATAAAGTCACAAAAAATTGGTGAACTTAATTTAATCTGAGTTGTGTTGTGTTAGGTTAGGTTAGGTTAGGTTAGGTTAGATTAGATTAGATTAGATTAGGTTAGGTTAGGTACATGCACTTGATCTATTAACTCAGATTAAATTAAGTTTACCAATTTTTTGTGACTTCGTGACACCAAATACTAGTCGAGGTGAGGTTAGGTTAGGTTAGGTACATGCACTCGATCTATTAACTCAGATTAAATTAAGTTTACCAATTTTTTTGTGACTTTGTGACACCAAATACTAGTCGAGAAGTGATTGGCAGTCCGATTTATTCATCTAGGACCATTATTTGACTTCATTCCGGCTATATTTGGGTACATTTGGGTAATTAGTCGGACCCCTCGTCCTGACATAATGTAATAACTGACCGGAAAATAATCAACTTTATATTAATTTTAACAAAGACGAGAGAGAGAGAGAGAGAGAGAGAGAGAGAGAGAGAGAGAGAGAGAGAGAGAGAGATAATGTAAACACGAAAGATACTTGAAGAATTGTGTACCTAATGTGCGTTTGAAATACACACGTTTAATATCCACAAGTTCATTTCTCCTCATAAGGTACAATACAGTGTAGGTAACATCACAGTAGACCATTGAGAGATGATGCAACGAAAATATAACAGCTTGAGTTAAGTGGAGTTAGAAGTCTCGATTTTTTTTATAACACAGTATGACGATTGAGATTGGCACGAGGCGCTGAGAGAGATACAGTTAATGGAATAAAAGCTGAATGTGGTTATGAGGCTGGACACTTAGTAATATCTGTATCATGAAGAATTAAATCTACATCAGTAAGCAAGATAAGAAAAGACATTAAAGGGATGTAATGAGATGTAAAAGAGTGAGGACGTGTTGATAGTATTTTAGCTTTGATCCATTTATTGGGAAATATAATAAAACATTAGTTATACAGACAGATTTATTATATGTTGTGTTGCATAAACAGCTAATCCTTCCGTACTTCAATTACATGCCTCCATCCTATAAGTTGAACTCTATGCCCGCCCTAGTCATTTCATGGGCTCGCCAGCTTTCTCTCCTCCTCCTCCTTCTCCTTCTGTCAACCAAGACGCCTTAGAGATGGCTGTACGTGACCTGTGGGTGTGGTGGGTGTGGGTGTGTGGGAGGATGGAGAGGGCTGGAGGAATCAGGTATCATCCGGCCGCCGTCACAAGTCACCAATATCTGGGAGATGAATACGTCGTTCGTACCCATCTCCACTACTACTCTCACTCTTTATACTTCTTTCAGCTATATTTCCATTCGTTGTTTGCCAGAAATATTAGTATGATAGTGAGAAGATGTAAACTACGACTCAATGATGGAAACTCCGATTCATTGATGTAAACTTCGACTCAGTGATGTAAACTTCGACTTGGTGATGTAAACTACGACTCGGTGATGTAAACTACGACTCATTAATGTAGACTGCGACTCAATGGTGTAAACTACGACTCAGGGGTGTAAACTACGACTCAATGATGTACTTGGTGATGCAGCTAGTGTACATAAGAAGGTCTGAAGAATGTTTGAGAGTATTGAAGTCACTCCTCGAAGAACTGAACTTATCATAACACTTTAAGTATTAAGAAGTGGTCTGCTGCTGTGCATGCAATTTCACTTGTGTGGAAATTAATTGAATTCTCTATACACGCAGTCATATGTAGGTTTAAGGCACTATCTTCCTAGTTCTTATTTGTTCTTACTTCCACATTCGATTTACACAATATGAATTAAACCAAATATATCCGGAAAATGCCATCAGGATGAGCTACAGACTAGTGGTGAAAAGAGTATAGTAAATTAAGTAAAATAATGTATTGTGGAGTGGAGTAGAGGGGTAAAGTAAAGTACGAAAAATAATTGAAAATCAGACCCCTCAATGGCCCAATGAATTAGTTACCCTCCATATATGTATTTTGTTTTCTTTAAAAATTACGAGACAAGTATCAAAGAAAACGTTTGTGCTTTGTTTAAAATCCTGTTTAAAGTTAATGTAGTGTTTACAATGCACTTAAAATGTTGGTTTAAATAACAAATTCTAAACCTAACACTTTAAGACTATAATTTACGGAAGATAAGAAACAAAGAACAGATAATAGAGTTAATATGGCGAAAAATATTATCATTTACCTGAAATATAACAAATAAACTCAAAATACAAAATATAATGAAAGAAATATATGAAAGGATTTATAATTATGATCTCAATGTATTTATAATTGTGTATGAGAGTATATACCAGCGAGTGTACATGATGTTTTAAATGAGCGAGATTATCTGAATGAGTTTAGCGATGTTTATATGAGAATAGGTTAGGATTTACATTAAGTTAGGTTAGCGTTATGGTGGTTAATCTTTAGGTGAAATAAACTAGGGTGGAGATTCTTCAGGTGATCTTATTTTCCTCTCACGTAAACTCTACCTCAATATCGTTAACAATTATCATGATGTTTTAAAATGGATCGCCATGTGAATATTGGTGGCTGACAGATACAGAAATTCGACCTACCTCTGCCTCCTGCACCTGCCCCACGCCTCCATGCACCCCCCCCCCCTCCCCACATGTCTCTCACACTCCCTACTGCAGTAATCCACCCCCCCCCCCAGCCTTCCCAACCCACAAATCCATACACACAAACGCACAAATACCCAACGTAGACCTACATATAAACACACGCAAACACACGCATATAACAGACATGCAGACACACAAAGCTCCAGTCACACACGAGTTGACAGACTTTTAGTTCATTGATCCAGCGAGTGTAAGAAAAAAAGGCAACTTCACTCTACTCACTGATAAGAGAAAATGAAACCTTACCAATGTTTAATGTCTCTCTCTCTCTCTCTCTCTCTCTCTCTCTCTCTCTTTCTCTCTCTCTCTCTCTCTGCATTTATTTGTTACTGGTTTATTAGTGGGTGTGACAGGAGTTGTAAATGATGGGCGTGGGTAAGGGTTTGTTTACCTCCGGTTCAGATCTGGTGAGTGTAAACATTGTCCCTAAATCGTATCTGTATTCTGTTATCATTCTGAAATTTCTGTATCAGGGTTTGTGTGACTCTTATCATTGCTTTGTGAATTACTGTAGTAAGTAAAGGAAGTGAAAATTCTCTATCATCTTTACGTTTATTATAATATTTCGTCTTTGTGATCGGTTATGTTTTCTCCTCTGTCTCCTGATCTTAATCCTAATCCTCCTTTTCCTCCTTCACCCTATCTTCCTCCTTCTCCTTCACTTCTTCCTTCTCCTCTTCCTCCTTCTCCTCCTCCTTCAGAGCCTATTGCATCATACACTCCTTGACACTGTTGCGTCTTCAACAGCCTTGAGCCGCCCAGGTCACGTGCCTGGAGCCTTTATATTGAGCTGGTCGTGTTGCTACCGTGGTCACTCTGTCACGAGCCTTCACGGAACTCACACCTCCAGCCCTCAGCAAGGTAAGTGATGGGTGTGAGGATGTGTACTGGTGTGGGGAGGTGCTGTGTACTGGTGTGGGGAGGTGCTGTGTGCTAGTGTGGGGAGGTGCTGTGTGCGAGTGTGAGGAGGTGCTGTGTGGTATGTGGGGGTGTCATATACCAGTGTGGGCAGATGTCATGTACCAGTGCCAACACTCATTAAGGTAACATAGCCACTATTTGTATGTAACAAGAAGTGGTGTTGTCACAGATAGTTTGTTGTCATTATACCAACTTGGGAGCAATGTTGTCACGGCAGAGAAACTTATGTCGCTGACTGGTACAACGCTGTATAAACTTCCCTTCACCATATCGTGTGTCTGCCTCGTCTTCCTCGTAATCCTAATCCTTGGTATCATATTATCATTCCTTGTTCAGTATGAGCGATCGACAAGCCCCACTTTCCCACCACTCCTGCATGTCTGATCACGTCATTGTCTCGTATCAACAAAAACTAATGTATCATCGTCACAAACTATTCATATTAGGTTTCATATCTTAGTATCCTATCTTATCCACCGTCCATATTCATTATCCACATCCCACGACACCCATACTCACTGCTAGCAACTTCGTATTATTGTTTTTTTATATAAGTTAATTCAGTTATTTTCCACGGGTAAGGAAATCTTCAGTTTTATGTCGCCGTCTCCTCGGATCAAAATTCCAGATGAAACGAGTGTTATTTGTCAGGGACACACGGGTGAGAGGTCTAGCAACACCTGACTATTGAGTTTGGTTACCCAGCAGCAGGTGTGGTGGTGAGCGAGGAAGGCATTGTTAATGTGCCCGACTCATACTCAACCATTGTGTAACCTTTTCATTATTTCTTACGTCGATAAAGGATAAATTGCAGTGACATAGTTACAATTAATAAGTGAATTTATACGAAAGTTGTCAACATAGCAAACGTGTACTGTAGCTACAAGAGTTAGGTTGTTGATTTTTTTTCCACATATTCTCCACCTTCTAGCGACCAACCTGTCTTCCCGTTCATCTCCCGGACACATTCTCTTGTTAACACCGCCATTATGAAACCGTCTCATTTAGGCCTACATCACCCCCCCCCCCACCTTGTGCCATGCTGATGAAATTCTAGCCTGAGATAAGTCAGGTATGAAGGCGCCTCATTTGGTCTAGTGAGAGAGGGCCAATCGGCCAACCCGGCATCCAGGTCAACAAGGATTTTGTTACAGATCTCAAGTGTCCGTCTGACTACTACCTGCTGCCGGAACACCTCCTCGCTCCAAGGTCAGCCTCTCTCACTCAGCGAACTTCAGTAAAAAAAATCGGAAATAAAGAAATATACGTAACTGAGAATTACTTACACCCATAGGCATCACATCCTTGTACAGTACGGTATATGTCCACTTATGTAAAAAAGTATTTGAATTGCAGTTCATTGTGATGGTCTATTGTTGTTTTTAAGCAGTATAAGTTGGGAGTGGTCACACAACTATTTGGTAAATCCTTCCATCTATTGGTTTAGTGTGACAGTTGTTCCACGTGTTGGCACCGAGTCTCACCCCCACAGGGACACTAGACACTCGGCTCTTACTCACCACTTCACCTCGTCTCACAATTTCACACTCCAGCACATTGTTGGGCTTCTGTAAAGATTTGTCCTCTCATGTCTACCTCTTTGTTCATTGCTTTCCTTTGTTATATACAGTATATACCTCTATATAAAGTGCATATAGATCTGCCCGTTTATGCACATATTTCCTGAATTTTTATGTATTATCTGTCTGTCTGTGTGTTTATACGTGTGTTTGTGTGCATGTGTGCGTTTGTATGTGTTAAAGACCAACTCATTATACATTCTTCATCTTAGCGATCACTTGTTGGGTCTGGATAAGCCGTCGGTGTAACAAGGTGTCACAACTCTCAATGATCTTTCAATTATACCCAAAAGATATCCACATTGTCAGCCTTTCCTCCTCTCAGAATGTCATCGTGTATATCTCATCTCTTTCAGTGCTTCATGTCTGCAATTTATTTATTCCCTGACAGTTCAAGTGTTGTGTTAGGTTCCTCAGTCATCGAATCATGTTCTCGTTTTACATCTTACAAGTGGCTATTATCCTGTTAATGTTACTTCACTCCACAGAGTAAGTTACGTCTTATGATGGTTTCTTGCGGACGTAATATAACCAGATTAATTTCCATGTAGACGTGTGTGTGTGTAAACTGTAACTAGAGCTAAATTAATCCATATAATTCCTGCAAGTAGAAACTATACAGGGAACAATTAATTAGTCTTTGTGTCCAACCACTCAACCTGGCGGACAGATCTCATGACAACGACAAAATTTCTCTTGGTGTTTTGTGAGATTTGAGGATGTGTCGTGTCTGTCTTGCTGAGGGCTGGGGCGTCGGGTGAATCTCGAGAGCCTGTAAATACACACTCGTCTCTATTGTCATCAGCGACTCGTTAACTTGTGTTATGGATCGGCTATCTTGAGTTGTTGGTGGACTGTTTCACACTCCCCACACGCCGAAGAGAGATTCATTATTTACTGAGTTAGTCATGAGAGGCGATTCAGTGTGGTGAGGCGGCGTATCAGCAGTCGCCTATACAAAGACTGAGAATCGTTTAGGATGAGTGAATTGACCGAAGAGTGAGAAACATTACTCATAAGTGGAATAAAATATAAGTACGACATGTCTTCAGGAGAAATGAGAGTTGATTCTTTAAGGCAGTATGATATGTGTCAAGAGTTTAGGATCTGTCTTTAGATGACGGTACGAAAATGTTAAAGTATTGATTAATGGCAAATATATAAGACGAATACATCTTCATTTTTTGGTGGCTTATACATTCGAATTTGGTTGTACAGAGTTTCAAGTCTTCCTCGTACACAGCTGTCGATCCTCTGTTGTTTCTCCCATTACCTCCAGTGTCCTCTTAACCACACAGCTTAACTTCCTTATTTTTTTTTCTATTTCAGCTTTTATATTTCTCTCTTGCTTGTAGTTTCTTCTCTACTCCACAGATCGTGTCTCAGTCGTTTCTATCCTATAACCTTCCTCGTTCCTTATAGGTTCGTCTAGTCCTCGTGTTGTTCTTCTTCTTGTTTTTGTTTGTGTGTGTTGAGAAAGAGAGGAGGAAAATAAATCCCCTCAAAATATCCAAAGAAAACGGTAAATTGTTCATGATTAATTAATACCAAAGACTATAATAAACATCAAAGTCACGATCTCGGATATGCATTAAAATTCTTATTATTGTTTACGTAATAAAACTCTAAAATGCATCATTTTTATACCGGGGGATTACTGTGTACGCGTAGGTTGCAATGTAACGAGAGCCTCCACTGTATTCTGACTAGTAACACAACCTGGAGATAACCACAGACACGCCACAACACGACCCGTCTCTTGTGTATATCGTCTGTTATTCTTTACCACAACTTGCCGTATTATTGTGCAGATAGTCATGTTGTTTGTCACCCTGCCACCCTCACTGTCTCCCTGCCACCCTCACTGTCTCCCTGCCACCCTCACTGTCTCCCTGCCACCCTCACTGTCTCCCTGCCACTGTCTCTGCCACCCTCACTGTCTCCCTGCCACCCTCACTGTCTCCCTGCCACCCTCACTGTCTCCCTGCCACCCTCACTGTCTCCCTGCCACCCTCACTGTCTCCCTGCCACCCTCACTGTCTCCCTGCCGCCCTCACTGTCTCCCTGCCGCCCTCACTTACCTCTCTGCCATCCTCACTTTCCTCCCTGCCACCACCACCACTACCGTGCCTTCAGACAAGTCAATCGTCAATGATAGTGATCATTGTAATACGTCACGTGACACTAAGTGACGCCAATGGCTGGGGAATCCACTTCACCTCACTCGGGACACTGACAAGAGGAGGGGGGGGGGCAGGGAACGGGGGAGGGGGCATAAGACAGGGGGAAGGGGAGGAAGCAGAAGAGATAACCCAGGGGTAAGGGACGTGGTAGGGGCAGGGGAAAGTAATCGGTACGGGGGAAGTGGCAAGGGAAGGAAATACTAAGGAAAGAAGACTGACAGTGGATGGAAAGGGAAGGAGAGCAGAAGGGAGTATATATACAAGACAAGTTCATAATAATAATAATAATATCTCAGTCAGCCATTATAAAAAAATCACAACTGCTAAATTCATTAACAAGCAAAAGTTATCATTTCAGTATTGGGAAGATAAATAGGATATCGGAACTTGGCCAAAAGGTTTACTGTAGACTTAAGACAAAGGAAAGGTGTTGCCTGAGTGACAGCTGGAGGGAGAATGTTGCATCAGCCAGTGTCTCAACGGTTAATCAAATTGTTGTGTTAGAGCGGCCTTGGTGGGTTTCCTCGAGTGTGGCACTACGGAGGGAGGGGGGCAGGACGGAAGAGGACATTGGTATAGATTCAAGTACTGTATTATCTTATTAATCACCAAAATACTATGTCTTGATTTTAATGGAGGTAGTCTACTTATGATTGAGACAGGTAGGTGTATATCATCACGTGTGGTAGGTGACAGGTGGAGGTGACAACATAGACAGCATCTCCAAGACAGTAGTGTGTTGTTGTGACAAGAGGGAGAATCAGCTGATCTGGTTCCTTTCCGGACGTGTGTTACCTTACGTAGGCGTAGGAGCGATGAGTAGAGGGGGAGGTTGGAGAGTAAAGTAAAGGAAAAGAAAAGAAAACAAGAAGATAACAGTAAACATGACCCGTAAATAAAGTGGAACATTAACCAATAGTTTGTGTTGTATTAAGATTAACTATATTGTTCTCTCGGAAATGTGAACCGTTAATAATAATCAAAATGTTGCTTTATATTATGATCTGCGAGTCACTTGTTACCGTCACCAGCAAATTTTTTGTCAGTGAGTGAATCGGTAACAAATTTTCTCTTGTCAGTCCACTTAAGTTAAACTTAGTTCACTTGATACACACTCGGCCCAGAAAGTTAATGTAAATAAAGGGTCTATAGTTCATTTTTCGAAGATATTTTTAATATTTGATTTACCTAACACCAGACGATTTTATTCACCATAGAGAGGACACTATACACAAGGGGTTAGAGGACACCATACACAAGGGGTTAGAGGACACCATACACAAGGGGTTAGAGGACACCATACACAAGGGGTTAGAGGACACCATACACAAGGGGTTAGTAGACTATTTTCCTTAAATAAGCTTCAGTTTACTATTTATCACCTTTTTTATGGTGTTGTTGTTTTAGCCCACCATTTGATGATGTGACCTCATTTCTTCACCAACCTGCTTACTAAATATTTATTGCTCAGTTATGTCATAGATGCTTCATAAATATTGACTAATCAGAATCCTTAATCCAAATCTTGTTCACAACTTCCAGTATATAAGTCTTTGGTAAATTAATTCAATTCCGACAGGTAAAAAAAAAAATCGTATATCCAGGAATGACTCCCCTTTACAATTAGTTAAACGTCAGAAATATATTTAAACTGGAAGCCGACAAGAGATTACATTACACCTGAGAGTTATAGACACAGGTGACAGTCAATGTTAAGTGTCCGTGTCGGTGGGTCCTGTGTGAGAATGTATCGGGAACCAGAACAGTCACGTATACTACATAGAGCTGGTTAAGGGTGAATGTTGCGACACCTTTCCCAGTTTTGGCCATTTTTACGATTATATTCACCTGTAATAGAGAAGAGTTGGTGGGTTTAGTTTACGCTGTGATCACGACCATCTTTTGAAAAGCTTTGAGAATCGTGTTTGAGAGATTATCTCACGTGAATCTTTCTCTTTTGTTATGGTATGTGTGGGGGGGGGGGTGCTGAACTTATTGTATCCGTGTTGTGGTAGAGTATAACTGTTGCATGTACAGTATGTAAGTGGTGGTAGGGGTGGTGGGAGGTACAACAATATATGAGGGGGCGTGATAGTGAGGTGGTCGCCGCTACACGTGACCTGAAGACATCCTTGACTCCAAACAGCGAGGGTCTGTTGCTTTGGTCCAATCACCCACAAAAACACTCTTCCGCGTCGATCTTACTCGTCTCTTCCTTAAAAACAATAACAAACGAATATTTACTTGTGATGATAACTGATAAGTACTTCAGCAAATTAGTTTCATTGTGTTTACGTAATCAATCGTGCTTATGTAAAATACACAGGCGCGTGTGTTAGTGTGTGTGTGTGTTAGTGCGGGAATACGTAACGTCAATACCCAGCACGGATTGGCTGTAGTGTGAAGCAGGGGAGGGGACAGTGGTGGTGATCACAGGAGTACCCGCCTCACTCTACCACCCTATGGTCACTCGTGATCTCACACCTACACGTGACCAGGAGTGTAAGGTGGAGGTGTGGTCACTGAGCATCCTTGAACACTATGTTTGAGACTGTCCCTTCATGTGTAGATCTCCAGAGTCAAAGAAGTATCGTGGTCAGTAAAGTTGTGAGACGATAAGTGTTGTTGGCAGGTAACACAGGTGACTCGTGGCGCCCCTGCATAAAAACAAACAAGAACACAGGTTAGTCGTTTCTCCGAACAATAATTTCTTAAGAATATAGAACATATTTCAATCCTTATTCAATTATTATATGTTCCTTTTTCCCTTAACTGTATACACACTTGACATCACTGTACTTGTTTTACACATATACAACCTTCACAGTTATGACTTCTCTCCACAATGTCATTTGGGTGTGTTATGCCAGCTCGATGATGCTGTCTAATACAAATGTTACTTAAATTATTGTTATTTCGCCTTTAACCAAGTACACAGTAACCAAACTGATTTTTCAATAGTTGTAAGTTCCTTGAGGGAACAACCCACAACAATCTGTACCGACAACTTGTATCACTTTCCCCACAGCCACCAGAGCTACCTCACACATTGGATTTTACCGCCTTCTAACCGTAAGCTTTGACGTACCATGATTTTCCTTCTTTGTGATTCCTACTTTGGTGATTATTAACCTTATTCCTCTGACCGACAAGCCAAGTTTTTCTACCATCTTATGAGTTACAATAGTCATATCACTAATGGGACCCACAATGTGTTGATTTGCCTTCCTCTGCCATTAAAAATACCTTTTACTTTGATCCTTCGTGATTGATTTTTCAGGTTGAAACGTTTTAAAATATAATATTGCAACAAACTCTGTGATTCTGGTTGGACCTACATACAGTTGTGTTTTGCAGACGAGGGGTAGTTGGCATTGAGCAGTTCCTTGTCACCAGGACCCGCTGCCTCATGAACACACCTGATCACGTTAGTCCCACGTCACCACCAAATGAAACATCGTTCACGGGGAGTGTCCAGATGTTGAAGTGGATCCTCACCTGTCACGAACACTGAAGGGAACGCCCTCTTTGGTAGTCCTTCGTCACAAGGACACAAGTGATTATTTCCAAAGTGCCGCCATCAACGACAATGGACAAACAAGTTATCTCAACGTCAGCAGAGACGATGTGATAAATCCTGATAGTGGAGCTGGTGAGGTAGAAGTCATACCTTTGACCACCGTATATGCAACTCCAGGATGTATACGGGACCGAAGAGAGACCACATGGAGACTATTTCAGACTCCATGAACAACGGAACAGCGACAGCATTTCCGATCCTAGAATCACTGGTGACCGAGAGACGGCATAATAGCAGGACTGGTTCATCAGGACTCTACAGTTCAAGAGATCAGCAACATAGCGCCAAGAGAGAAAATAAATCAGTCTTTGAGAAAGTTAATGACACCACAAATGTGTTTTTTGAACCACTAAAGAACGAAAACAAATCAGGTATTAGGAATTCTCTTGATCTCACCACCTCGTTCGAGAGACAGAATTCACCTCTTATCTCCAGTGTTCAAAATCCTCGCCAGAGTACTGTGTCTGGTACTCTTGGTGCAGACACGACGAATAACAGCAACGAGAAAATACAGCCTCAGAACTCCTCTATAACATGTGATGCTTCTAATACTAAAACGACTGTTAAACTACGCAATAAAAGACGAGCAGCGGGAAGCACCACCGCAGCTTGGCCTTTCTCACAGCTGGATCTTATGAAGCGACGTAGTGCCGAAATTTCCCAACTAAGACACGCGTTAGAGGAAAAGATAAGGAGTCAAAATTCTACATACAGTCGCTTTAGCACTAACATGAACGGACATGATTACCGTAGACCTAATTCTGAATATTTAACAAGTAGTAAACGTCCATCCAGTGTGTATGGATTCAGGCACAGAGATAATAACCTCGAAAAAGAAAATAAAGAACCGTTAATTTCACTACGAAACAACATCTACACCTCGACCCAAGTCCGCCAACAACAACACAACAGAAATTCTGCACCTCCAGGCTCTATTGATCCCCGTAAACTCAAGTACCTGATGGACGACCAGCGTAAATCTTCTCCATTCCTGGACCACAAGACCCCCGGACCGCTCCTCTGTCACAACTGTTCAAGTCCAGTGAATTTTAGTCCATATAAGTACTCAAGATCTATGTCTTATTGTGATGAGGGCGAGGACACGGGGTCACAGTACTACACGCCCATGACCTCACCAGGACCCAGAGTTACTCATCCGTTAAAGAAGATCCGACACAGTGGAGACTCAGACGAGGATACTTCAGAAGGTATGTCACTACTGCTGGTGGTAAGAGAGGCTGAGTGTTACGTAAAACTAAAAATAAATCATCCATGAATCTTAACGTTGTGACTTGATCAGACTTAATAAGGCTTTGTCAGTATTATTCACATGTAAAGTAAATAAGCAATTGGTTTCTTCAATAACTTATCTAATAGAGAGAAAAATACTTCACGTAGTTTACCTCTTGTGTTCCCGGGTCAGGGTCATACGAGGACACCAACGACCGGGTCAACTATTACCCGAACTGTGACGCCACCATCTGGATCCGATCCTGCACCAATCAGATCACCCAACCACTCTCCGGGGTCCAGTCAGGTCAGTCACTTACACCACCTATTAGGATTTACTCTGGAGCTCCCCTAAATTATTGATAACACTTACAATAAGGAACAAAGCACATATAACGAGGCTGAGATAACTGGACCTGTTTTATAATGAAGGAATCTTTGATCACACAATTATTCCAATGTAGGAGAGGAATATACAGTAACATTTCATTAAGATCTACCGTTTAGTCTTCACTACTAAAACTCGAACAACCAAGATAGACTTCAGTGGTTTTATGTCTCTAATAATCTACAATGTTGTGTTACTTTGTGTTCCTTTGGCCAGGTGTGATTCCCAGGTGGCTGCGAGGCGCTTTAATACGTAATGGCCCAGGTCGTATCCAGGTGGGCGAGCAGCAATACAACCACATCTTTGATGGCTCGGCGCTGCTGCACAGGTGGGCTACTTTTTCTCAGAACAGGAGAGGTGTACGTGACACTGTGTCCTCTGATGGGCAATAGAACGGTAAAGTGACCAATAATCATGTTGGGTTTACATAGAACACCTTGGATAAGAAGGACCTCATGAAATACTCTGGTAACAGGTGTCTCGCCTCCCTCAGGTTCCACTTCCGGGAAGGCCGAGTGACCTACCAGAACAAGTTCCTGCAGAGTCGCAGCTACCTCAGGGACACAAAGGCTCAGCGTATCGTCGTCAACTACTTCGGCACAAGAGCCCACCCTGACCCCTGCAAGACCATCCTGCAGAAGTAAGTATCGCTGCTGCTGACGGTAGATGTCACTGGCGTCGTCACTGGTTTTGTCTAGTGTTTGCTTAATTTGTCACAACAAAATACAGTAAATTCTGCTTTTATTATGTTAAAACACAACATCAAAGGTAAATACACAATAAGGCTAAAGTTTGGAATCTCTTGATACTACTACAGTCTCACTGCAACATGAACACCAAATTGGCCTTCACCTTAATGACCATAGGTTAGGTTAGGTTATGTGTGATGCGTTTCCTCATCTTAAGTTAAAGTTAAACTAAAATATAAAGTGAGCGCTTGAGAAGCTTTACTCAATAGTCTAACTCATCCGACGTTCCCGCAGCATCGCCAGCAAGTTTACTTTCGAGGAGCACTTCACAGACAACGCCCAGATCAGCCTCTACCCTTACGGCGACGGCCTCTACGCCCTCACGGAGACCCCCTTCATCTTCCGCGTCGATCCTGAAACACTGGACACCCACGAGAAGGTAAGCGTGTTTACATAATATACCAGAATGTGTATTTCTATACTTTCAACCCAACCAGATTCTTCCTCTCGTCTCTATTATGTGGAAAAATTAAATAGTAACGTTTATTAAACCTAGCTGTAGTAAAAAAAAATATGAATAGTTTCGTCTAGACACCTGTTGGATGCACCTCACCTGGCCTCTCCCGCAGGTGGACTTGACGAAGCACATCGCAGTGTTGACTCACACGGCTCACCCTCATGTGGACAGAGACGGCACCGTGTACAACATCGGGCAGGGGGTGGGGCCCTTCGGACCAAAGTACCACATCTGCAAGTTCCCAAAACAAAAGACTAATTCTCAAGGTCAGTTTAACACACCAACTAGTGTCTATATAAAGCTAAAAGAGGAAAATAGTGCAGAGGAGAAACTTACATTAAGAAATCGTATTCCTTTACCTCACTTGTGTTAACTGTCTTCACTTCCTCTGGTGAGAAACAACCTGAACTAAAATCATATATTGGTTCATAACAATTTTCTCAGGTACCATATTCCTTTTACCAACATCCACGTAGCAAAATTTTTGATATTTGAGATTTAAAATATAAAGTTTCTGAATGAGGCAGATATAATTCTCCTCTTGAGACAAAGAAACATTTAACAAACAAGATATCATACTCAACCACAATGATAGTATGATAACTGTATGCTAAACTTAACTTTTACGTTACGTGAGACACTCCGTTGCCAACCTAACTGTTTGAAGTTGTGCCTCGAGGGTGTAGGGAGGTGTCGTGTATAAAGATGTAAAACTGAAGCTTATCCTGACACCTAGGTAACTCCCACAACAATAATACTGATACAATGTCACTCCGGCATCACGCAGGTAAGGTGAAGAGCCCCTTCGAGCAGGCCGAGGTGGTGGGGTCGGTGACGGCCCGCTGGCTCTTCAACCCCTGTTACATGCACTCCTTCGCCATGACCGACAACTACTGGGTCATCATCGAGCAGCCACTTGTCGTCTCCGTCTCCAAGATTATCAAAGTCATACTAAAACAGGATGCCCTCATCGACGCCCTCCAGTGGTGGGAGAAGGAAGTAAGGAACTATCACAGCTTTATGGAGTTGTTGATGTTGAAAGTCTGCAATTTTAACAGACACCAAGTTACTCAGGAATGTCTACCATTTCTAAGTTATAAAGAAATGTTTACGATTGCAATGCCGTGATAGAGAAATATTAACATATTGGCATTAATTCCAACTCGGTTAACTTTTATTCTAATCAAGACAGGTACTTGCATAGATATCTTAAAACTGATATGTAACACTAAGGACGCCCTATATCGTCTCCATTAAAGAGTCTTAGTTTATAGGATTAGTTTTTACCTTCCACTACACGAAGATAATAATATACTAAACTGTCTTCGTGCAATGTTTACAAACCTTATTAGAAGAATTGTAGGATTTGTGGATGATGGTGGATGTGACCGGATGTTTGTTTACCTTCAGACAAAGATCCACGTAGTGAGGAGAGACACTGGCACCGTCACCAGCACACAGTACGTCACCGAGACCTTCTTCTTCCTTCACACCATCAACGCCTACGAGGACAGAGGCCACATCGTCCTCGACATCGCCGCCTACAAGAACGCCGAGATGCTGCATTGTATGTTCGTCGAGGCTCTTAAGGTAAGTAATGGCGCCAAGAATTATTTACCATTACAAATATGAAGATTGTTATAACTATACTATTTACACCATCAGCGTTATATTTTGAGAGTATATCTGAATTCTAAAGTACTAATATGCTGTTGATATTACCGAGGTACTATTTATACGTCATTGAATGTATCTGAGGCTTCAGGTACCCCCAAAAAACAATGCAATATACTTTATATTTTTTTCTTAGTTCTGAGGAAAGTTTGTAGATTTTTTTAACTTTGTGACGAATTGCATTGGTTAAGACTTCCGTTCACCAGTAAACAAACTAGATTTCTTAACTAATCCCTGGGAAACTGAGATTATCACATCCTTAAGATATTCGTATCATCAGGTAGAGAAATTCAAAAGGTAGGATTGATTCACACACCAGGAGACTCACCGACGTAGTGTTTATAAAGCTTACATTACCATAGGAACGGACATACATTAGACAGACATGTATCACAAAGGTCAATCATCCCCAGAACGCCGCCTACGACCCAAGCTACGCCCAGATGTTCCGTGGGCGGCCTAAAAGATGGGTAATACCTTTGAGACCCAACAAGAACGCAGGACCCCATGCTAACCTCATCACCCTCCCCAACACTCGCTGCCGGGGTCGCTGGGTCAAGAAGAACGTCATCCACCTCACGCCAGAACTCATCGTCAACATCGGCTGTGAGGTGAGACGTCACATGAGATCGTTATAGAGATTTTTACTGTCTGATTTAATGAACAAGGAATGCACTGGATATATTCCGCCAGTGTTATATGTAGTTATATTTCCCTGTCAATATATATAAATTACATATACCTCTAAGACATGTATCGTATCATCTACCTGGGTTGTATAATGTGGGTTAAGTTGCTACTATTCAACAGGTGCCAAGAATTCACTACGACGAGTACAACGGCCGCCACTATCAGTACTTCTATGCCATCTGTAGCGACGTGGACCATCCCTGCCCTGGCACGGTGTGTAAAGTTACCCTTGGATACTACTGTTACTATTAACGCTACTATTCCTAATTACTATTTGGGCTTCTATTACTACAATAATGACAATAGTATTAATGATACTAATTTTAATACTGAAGGAGTGAAGATTGTAACAGTAGTAAAAATATAGTTAATAATAGACAAACCAACCTGACCTGTGATAATATTTTCGCTCCCGGACACAGCTAGTGAAGGTGGACGTGGTAAACAAAACACACGTGGAGTGGAGTGAGGACAACGTGTACCCCTCAGAACCCATCTTCGTCCCGTCGCCACAAGCAAAGGTACGACACTGAGAATATGAGGGAAGTGGTGGCGCATGAAACAAAATAATCAACACATGGAGTTGAATCCTATCCAAATGACAATCTGTTTATGGAGGAAAAACAAAAGATAAACTCCCAATGTGTATGTTTTATGTTTTAATCATTTCTTAGGATGTTTTTGTTTATATTTTCATTACTTGTTTAACAGTGATAGAGTTTCTTCAATGTATTTTTGTACCAGTATTAAATATTCTTACATCTTACTTGTTTCCACCAGCGTGAGGACGACGGGGTGGTGTTATCGGCACTACTGAGAGCTAAAGGTCTGGATCAGCAAGTGTGTATGTTGGTCCTTGACGCCACTACCTTCACTGAGTTGGGCCGAGTGGAGTTCGTCGCTCCGGGTCCTGTGCCTAAATGCCTCCATGGGTGGTGGGTCAAAGATGGCACCCTCACCATCCACCCTCAACACAACAAGAACAAATCCCAAACTAGAACGTAAATAGGCAAGTGTGTTGGATAGACTGTTTATATAAATTTATACTGATAGTAATATGTATAATGTATATCGTTCTTAATATAATGTAGATAATTCACATGTTGTTCAGATTTTTATAGTATTTATAAATGATATATATATTTTCTCATTTTCATATAAATATAAAAAAGGAAAGATATTAATCTAAATTATATAGAATTTTGCAGTTTTTTTTCTTCTAAACTTGGGGAAATGTATTTATATTTAACGAGTGAGTAATTGAAGATATACACCGTTTTTCATTCTTCATAACTTAGGGCAGTACTTTATGACATACCGGACAACTATTGGGCAGTCGCAAAATAATCCCAAGTGAAAATCCAATCTTTGCCCATTACTTCACGGGGTACAAGTTACACAGTAGTTAGAATACACTTTTGGCTTAAGTTTCCATGTTAAAGGAAGTAATTTAAATATATCTGTTTCTTACAAATTTAACGGATTTCGATTTAACGGACTACCCTCTCTCATACAGTCCGTTAAAAGGAAACTTCACTGTCTAACATTCCTCATATACGTGATGCACATAATGTACTTTTCTTAATAGGTTGACACGAATATTAGACGACTCTGTGAACCTCTTTAAAACACCTTCAGATGATAATACTATCCATGTAAATAATTAAGTTTAGTTAATCGTTAATGTGTGCCTTAGCTTCAGGTGTTTTGAGATTTATACAAAAGGAAGCAACATTTTTTTTTTATTCCTTTATTGTTAAGGTTTATCTATTTAATAATTATCTTCGTCTTTTTAATGAGATTATATTTTTATAGTCAACACTTCTCTATAATCTTTTAATTACTTTTTTTTTACAAGACTATAATAATCCCAGAGAAAATTATACCTAGAACGTGTTATAGTGTCTGGTGGATAATATATTTTTACTATCACAAGTTGTATATATCATGTAATCACCTGAATAAATAGTGAAGATTATATATCAATTACCTATAACTCCATTGATATATCCAATTATATAACTGTGGCAAATATAAGAATTGTGACCCTGATAAGTGTTTGTGACCCAGTGAGAGGTATTTGTGACCCAGTGAGTGGTGTTTTGTGCCCATTGAGTGGTATTTTGTTCCCATTGAGTGGTGTTTTGTGACCCAGTGAGGTCTTTAAGGATAGACAAATAGTTGGAATATCTAAAACAGGCAAAAAAAAAATATTTGATTTATTTAACATCTTAAGCTAATATACTTACATAATATAACTGAGATCAAATATACTACAACATATATTATGAAGAAGATATAGACCAAAGACAAACATTAGACCATCCTCAAGTTTTTTTTATTCGTCTCTGTTTCCTAAAAGTCATATATTAATTTAGAGAATTTGTAATAGTTAACATCTTAGGGGGTAAAAATTGTTTGATCTTATTTCATATTCCTAGACTAGTATAATTTTACCTTCAATTGATATTTTTCAGTGTGTTTATCTGTCAATCTAGGAAGTTAAGGTAAGGAAATGGTGGGTATATTTACATCTGGTCTGATTAACTTGATTACCTGTGGTTACCTGTTGGAAATCTTACTAATTAAATCACATTGATATGATATAAACTAAACCGATTCACTCTCAAAATATACATATTATAACAAAAAATTCTTAACAAAGTACTAGGGTTGATATCTAGGAGCGTTAGTAACCAAATCAACAGACGGACAGAGAGGTAAAGGTTATACTTGAGGCAGCGGACGTGACAGCATCAAGTGCAATTGTTTTGTCAACAAGCTTCAGGTAAATGTCCTCCTCTTGAACTCTTCAGGTATATGTTTGTCACTTAAATAAAAGTAATTAGGTTTTATATATGATCATAAGACTTTATAAACAATGGATACTACGTCTAATGATCCTTTACTGTACGTCTAATGATCCTTTACTGTACGGCTAATGATCCTTTACTGTACGTCTAATGATCCTTTACTGTACGGCTAATGATCCTTTACTGTACGTCTAATGATCCTTTACTGTACGGCTAATGATCCTTTACTGGTCCCTGGCTTTTAGTCCATCATTAAACTCGAGGCAATGAGACCAACCTCTCTTCACTTGGGTATTGTGTGCTCTATGAACAGCTGTGCCCCCACGTGTGTGTGTGTGTGTGTCCGTCTGTAACAGGATGTTGCGTAGAACTAATACCGTCAATTCGCATCTGCAGGTTCTCTTGCTGTGTTGATGAGGTTCTCCGAGAGTAATACCTGGAGGTCTTAGTCACTGCTTTTCTCTCTCTCTCTCTCTCTCTCTCTCTCTCTCTCTCTCTCTCTCTCTCTCTCTCTCTCTGTTACTCAGTCTATAGTCTGATCGGCAATGTCACACAGTTACCTCCAGCACTCCACTGTGAATTATACTCCTGTATGTCTCCCGGTTACGTCAGGCAGCACAGTAATACACCAAAGTCCTCACGTGTCCTGGAGGTCATCACTACACAGACTTAATTTCACTTAGACTGTTGAACATATTCAACCTTTGAGACACTTCAGGTCAAAGGTGGTAAAGCCAACAGTAATAACAGAAAGTACTGCCCATCAACAGGTAATATTTACAAGGTCAGTCACATATCAGTTATAACGGCATGACTCTTCTTAATCCTCACGTCGCCTGAGATTTAGTTTCCAGGTCGTTCTTGTCTTGGTCGGGAGTATTGTTGCCGCCTTGTTCAGTCTGGCCGTCTTGAGGACCATCGTCACCACTGTCACAGCAGCCAGAACAACAAGACTCGGAGGATATGTTAGAAAGAGGTCGACCAAGACTAGGAGAGGTGGAGGAGGACCTTGGCGGTGTACTGTTACCTCCTATACTGTCTTCTCGAAAGAACGAAGACGGGGAGCCTTCATCGGGGCGGGGAAGAGGCAGCACAGGTGAGGATCCCATTCGACGGTCCCCGGAGTCTGAACCTGTTGAGGATAAGGATAAATGAGACATGTGGAGAAGAGAGATCAGGTGTAGTTGGAAGCAGGTGAGAGTATAACCTGGACAACTTCCGAGAGAAAAAAAATGGTTTAGAACACCTTTTACCCGAGACCCGGAAGATGAGAAGGTTATGTTACCAATACTGAGGAGCATGTTTACATCCTATAGTTGTCTGATAATGTTTAGCTTCTGAGGTACTTCTAACTTATTTTAAACCAACGAGTATTTTCTGTCCAGATAGTCAGATTAGGATTGTTTTCTGGATCTATATACACTACGGTATACGTCCTTTCTTAAAATGTCATAATTAAACGATTAAGACATAGGCGACGCTGCTGTTGTTACTTACTGAACACTTCTGCCTTTCCATTAACACTGGTATCTGCCTCAGACTCACCTAGGAGTGCCGGGTTCTGGTAGTGCCTCATGGGGCTTGGGACTCTGGGTGGCATTTGTTCAGCTCCGGAATTGTTGAGGTTTTCTCCACTAACTCCGGCACCTATAGATGACCTGTGAAGGTCCATATCTGAGGCATAAACGGAGTGATGTCTGTAGGCAGAACCAGAGTGTTTTGACCTGATGCTTTTAACGCCCATGACTACTGAGGGTCGGCGTCGAGGGTTGCCCAGACTACCGTGGGTGACGTCTGGGTTCCCCCGCCAGTCATCGTGTGGCGCCTGGCTGTGATGGTCCAGCAGGCCTTTGTTACTCAAGTCGTGATCCAGATGAGGACTATTTTGTTTGACGCCCACAGCACTCAGCAAGTCCGGGTTGAACCTGGAGAATGATTCTTAATCAAGATGAAATACTAATGATTTGTTGTCATTTCTTAGAGAAACTTCATAAAATTGCTGAGAATTGCTGTGCTGTATCAGTCAAGTGGCAAACCTGATACACATAAACCTTTAGCTTACATCCGTCACATCGAGTAACTTCTTTTATAAACTGTATGAAAATATTAATAACCCATCCAGTATTGTCCTTTACTCCATGTTAACCCGAATGATTACGTAATGAATAACAAACACATCATATCGAATCATAATATCCAGAACAAAGAAACGACAACTCTAGTAAATTCAGAAAGCAACACCCTGACTTACCGAGGCAGTTGGTGTACCATGATGCCCTCCGCGTTCTCCTCCTTGGATGATCGTCCCTTCCTCCGTCTAGAGCTACGTTTGCGCTGTGGACTTGCGTACTGTTGCTCTTGTAGATGCTGCTGTTGCCGTAAAAACAGTAATTGCTGCTGTTGCTGTAACCTGACACGGGAGGAAGGCGAGAAAGTTACGTTCCTCCTCAGTCTGTGTTCAACGGGACCCAGCTGCACCATTGGCCGCCTCACTGACACGCTAAAGGTAGACAAATAAAATACAGTGAAAAATCTAATCGGTAACAAGTAAATAAAATTACCTTGATAATTATGTTAATCACCACATAACGTGAGGACGGTATCAGTAGAGACACACCTGTAAGCTCTCTCCCTCAGTCCTTCGTTGGTCTCCTCCGTCTCTCCCAGGTCGAAGTCCTCGGCCAGCTCCGGGTACTCATCTGTCCTACGAAGTCTGTTCAAACCTAAGTGGTCGATATATTCCAAGTTATCCGGGGAGACAGCCTGGCCATGAGGACTTAGGTAGTACTGAGGGTAGCCAGGAACCTCCGCGTGTCGGCTGGGGTCATGTGACAGATTTCTGGAGAATTTTTTAGACATCTTGCGTTGTCTGTCTCTCTCCTCTGCTACCGTGCTGGCCAAGATCCTGGAATATTTAAATCATAATTAATTAATGATGATGGTGATGATTGGGTGTTAGGAAGATGACTTAACTCTTTGATGATGATGGCTAATGGAAGGAGCCCCATTTCTCTCTCTCTCTAACTGTACATCAAACTCCCTAATTTGCTCCAACAAAGACCAGACTTAGAAACATGACTACACAGTCTTACATGACGGCCTCGTTGTGGCCAGGTCCGGCGAGGTTGGTCACGCCCTCGACGGCTGAGTTCCGGAGGTGGTGGTGGTGGTGGTGGGAGCGGTCATGGAGCTGGGTCTCGTCCTCCAGCTGCACGAAGGCCCTCCCGCCGTAAAAAGTGGAGCCCCCGAAATTGAGGAATTCGTCGGAGAAGGCCTCCCTCATCCGCCGATTCTTGCAGCAGGCTACCAAACACATGAGCACCGTCCCCAACAGGAGCAGACCTGAAGGAGGAGAAGGTTAAGGTAGTTTTACTAACACTCCGAGCCCCATTACATTTCCTTCAGTCCCTGCAGTCACTACTATTTCAGTAATCAACTTTGCTCATAGATGGCACCACCTTAAACTAGGGCCACCGAAGAAAGATTACAGGAACGTCTTAAGAGTACTGCCTCCTGACCTGACCTGACTAGCATGACCCATGACGTAGCCAGCATAACACTCACTCACCTCCTAGTCCTAAGAGCGCTGGACCGACGATTAGTAGAACCCTGTCTTCTTTGTCCAGGCTGTAGGCGTGTGAGGTGACGAAGGTTCCTACCCCCATGAGTATGACGGCAACCACGAAGACGCAGAGGATATAAGGCGCCCCCACCACCACCGGCCGCGACTGTGGTAGAGAGAGAGAACAGGGTTATCATGAAGGTGGGGATGTGGTGAGATAACTCCGAGGTGACGGACCCCTCACTCTCTCTCTCTCTCTCTCTCTCTCTCTCTCTCTCTCTCTCTCTCTCTCTCTCTCATGCATACAATCTCTCTTGCTTCCCTTCTCTCTCTCATACTATCTCACTTCCGTTCTTTCTCTCTCTCACACACACACACACACCATATACATATAGCGTACATGTGAAGACAGGAATACGGAGTGGTAGGAAAAGCGTCATAACCTGTTAGTGGAAGTAGACAGGATAGGAAACACCCCCCCATACACCTCCACCCCTCCCCCACATCCCCACCACCCCTCATCCCTCCACCTCCCCACCCACCTCTCATCCCTCCACACGTCCCCCACCCACCCCCCATCCCTCCACACCTCCCCCCACCCACCCCTCATCCCTCCACACCTCCCCCACCCACCCCTCATCTCTTCACGCACAATTCTCTTTCTGATTTATGAACCCTGAAACCCTATTCGATGCTGCTACATAATCGAGGTGGTGTCTGTCTGTCTGTCTGTCTGTTTGTCTGTCTGGTTGGCTGGTTAATGTCACACTGAGTTACGGCCGCTGGTGTAACTGGAGTGTGGGTACACCTGGTCTGGGGGAAAACCTTTGATTACTGAGAACGTTGACAGCTTCCCAGAGTGACAGAAATACCACGAGACAGTCCAGTAAACAATAGCTTGGGGGTGTAGTGTACTATCTTCTTCTTGTTCTTCTCCTCCCTCTCTCTCCTTCTTTTCCTCCTCCTACTTCTTCTTCTTCTCCTTCTTCTCCTTCGTCATGAGTCTTATTGTTTACATTTTGACCGAGGAATCGCGTTTACAACTTACTTTAATATGTTTTTTGGTTAGGTTAGGTTAGCACGACTGACTGTTTAGTCTGGTTGTCTCTGAGCTGTCCGCGTAAATATACTAAAAGACTAATAATGTTTTGACTTTCTTTAAACATCTTGTATTAATAGTAAACATTAATTAACTGCCCTATACCTCGTTATCCAGGTAAGATAATTAACTATCTTATACATCGTTATCCAGGTAAGATAATGAGCAATTCATTCACTATCACTTAGGAAATCACCACCGCAAACCTACATCCATCTCCCCCTGCCTCCATCTCCCCCCCTCCATCTCCCCGCCACCATCTCCCCCCTGCCTCCATCTCCCCCCCCCCTGCCTCCATGGGGGAGATGGGGTTACAAAATTACAAAATATGTCATTTCGTGTTTCAGAGTTTCACGCATTTCGTTTATTTATACAAGGGTGAGTTTTGAGTGTGTGAGTGTGTGTGCCATCACGACTGAGGATATGAGTAACAGGTTGATTTAAGTGTTGAGTGAGTTGTTAAGTTGTTGAATATGACTTAAATCAATTCAGTGTGTGTGTGTGTATGTGTGTGTGTACGTCGCAAAGCTGAGTATGTGGGTATAGAGTGTATTGACAACCGATAATACGTGTGTGATTAAGGCAATGTCTTCATTAGTGTTGAGAGCGTGAGTGGCATTTTTCTTCCAATTCGAGTGTGTGTGAGTGTAAAGTGTGTTTGTGGTCTCTGATGAGTGTGTAGATAAGGTAAATGAGTCATCTATTTTGAGAGTTTGAATGACTGCAGACAACAATACAACTGAGGGAGAGGATGAAGCTACGAACAGGCACAGGAAGTAAGTGCCAGGCACGGTGCCACGTGAACCAAGGTCGAAGTGTGGTCACATCCAGCTTCTAATTAATGAAAGGGTCACCCAGAACACAGGAAGAGGGTTTCCCCGCTCTCCCACTCATAGTGAGAGGGCAGCCCCACTCCTTCTTACAATTCAGTGTCGTAGTAATGTGGTCTTTATTTAACTGACTGGTAAACTTTTATATATTATCATCATACTACTAAAGCCTCTCGCTGTAGATGTAAATAATTCACATATCAACAAGAGTTATTATGTATTTCGGCTGTAACTTATGATCCTGTTCAGCAGAGTAAGGTTAGGTTAAGTCAGGTCATTTCTCTGATACGATATATGTTGCATATGTTCCTTATAATACAAGTGTAAGTGAGGGGTTATAGGAAAAGTTAAGAGTTAGTCCCGTTATAATATACGTACTTGAAGGTCACGTGTGTGTGTGTGTGTGTGTGTGTGTGTGTGTGTGTGTGTGTGTGTGTGTGTGTGTGTGTAAATAAGATACGTCAACAGCGTATTTAAAGAATAAAAAAATCAGACATGTTACATCCACGACACACTTAAAATTGTCTCCATGTTTCAGAGTTACTTCAGGGCTTCAGAATTTACTATAACACTGATTGGTAAACCCCCTAGTTCATATTGATATAGTCATGATATAAGACAAATTAATATATTAAGGTTATCTGAGACGTTGTAATCAAAACACGGGTGACTAAGTGGCTCCATATATTTTATTTACTGTAGCATTATAATCTTCAAACTTTTTTTCTTATAAATTTTGACTACTTTTTCTGACGTCAAGGTCATAATATTAACTCGCCTTCAAGTATATTTTTAGAAAAGTTAGGTTGATTAATTTGGTCAGAAAAGTATTATTAATCACCTACTTGAAAGGGTTAATTGCATTCCTTTCACCTGTTATTATCTGTGTTTGTCTGTTTACGAAGAAGATATTTCTAAAAACAACTTGATTTGTTTTGATGAAATTTGACAGTTGATGTGTAATACATTAAGAAGGAGTAATATTGAGGAAAACAGATTATAATTCAGGGGTTTAAATCAGGGTTCTGTTCCGTTCAATAATAATTCTAACCTCTATGGTTTCAATTACATCCGGATTACGTCACGACTCTTCCAAAACTCATTTAATTTCCTTTCCCTTATCTTGACTCTTGTTTCACTTCTGGGTAAGGTGGATTATCAGGCAGAGAGAATGGTGTAAGAACGGGATTAACCACAGGACAGAGATAAAGTAAGTAGGTTAATCTTTACATCCTAAACTACATCACGTGACATTGATTCAAAACTCTGGCTAACGTCTGCAGAACGAGTCACAGTGGATATAACAAACTCATTTACTCAGTAGTTTGTAAAAATGATTTTGTGTCAGAGTGAGGTGGTGTGGTCTGTTCGCCTTCACGTCATCGCTGGTAAACGCTACATGTGACGTAGACGACCAGGCTCGACGCAGGACACTCACCACTACAGAACCGACTCACTCTCCCTTTTTTGTATCACCATTTTTTTTACTCGGATATTTTCTTTTTCCATTTTTTTTTTAAACTGTGAAATTCTTTTTTGTCTTCATTGGTTGGATGATGCAGCCGTGAGCAACCAGGCCACTAGGGAATAAACTCACGTGAATCATCAACACTTTATGTAAGCCTTTGTACAAACTCCACACTGAAAACTCTCTGAACATATTTACAGTCAGGGTGTAATAGACGTTTCAACAAATCTTAATAACTATCGTCCACAGTCTTATCAACTTTCTTCATCAACCCTTTCCTGTTTGAGTGTTTGGGTTGGTAATCTGCCGCTTGATTTCTCACTTTACGAACGAGAAAGATGACTAATAACTCACTCTGGTATATTATGTTAAGAAGTATGGTAATGGAGATATTACCTGGCGGTGGTGAGTTCCGTCGTCAGCGTGTTGGTGGTACACCGAACTATCCAGCGTCGACTCCATACTGCTGCTCTACCTCGATCTTAAAACACAGTGAAAAAAAAAAGATATACTTTCTGATATTTTGTCCGCCGTCTGAAGTATAATTGTAAAACCTTCACCATTAATATAGAGACGTTATAAAATACCTTGAATAAAGTTACCGTCACCAAAGAACTCCCAAACATTGATACATAACAATAATATAACTAAATTTGTATCTCCTCAAAGTTATCTGTGGGAATGTTGTAATACCACTGAAATATCCTAAAACCTTCACTAATTAACTATGTCTCCTGTAGCACCGCCAGCAACACCATCACACATTCTCTTTACCTTGATGTGAAGATGTTCCTTGTTCACACTGCCACTGGGTTGAGATGATCCTCCAGAAAAAGGTGATAATTGAGAAATGAGCGAGGAGCAGCGACTCCCCCCTTGTGGCACTCCGTAAGTAGACTGTTGAGGCTCCACCACTAAATCCCGCTTACTCGAGGAGCCACAGGAAGCCGACATCCTATCCAACTTGTGACTCACTGAAAATGCCAAGTTGTTGTACTGTATATAAGTAAACGTGTATTACTTCACAAAGGTACCGGGCAAGTACAGTAAACTTGCAAGGTAATCGTTTTTAATACCAAGAAAATATTGAGTAAAGAAGGTAGCATTTTTCTTTTTTTAAGCATTTGACAAAGTTATATGATAATTCTTATATTACTGTCAATTACAGGTATCTAAATTATCTCTCTGATAACTTTACTCTTTTCACCATTCTTGTGTGAAATAGACAGAGTATAGTAAAGAAGAAGGAGAATCAATAAGAAACGAGAGACAAGACGAAATGCCCCCCCCCAAAAAAATGGAAAAGGAAAAAGAGGTAACATAGAAATACCCAACACGACGTTTACTCATATCATCCCCTTACATTCGCATTGTCTTCTTACCCACACTGAGTCACAAACCTTTGAAGTATTATCCCACGGTTTATTTATTTTTGTTTATGGAATCACTGGGTTTATTTAATTTATTAATGTCATCTTTTTCGAAAACACTCTTCACTCTCTGCCTTCCTGCATTATCTTACCTGATTTATTTAGCTTTCATTAATTTATTCATATTTTCCATCTATCTCTTTGTTGGTTTTCCTTTCCTCCTTCATCCATCTGTCTGTGCTGTCTTAGTGTTCTTTTAACTCCTCTTCTATACATTCTCTTATATTCTCTCTGTCTCTCCGTCTGTATGTCTGTGGTGGCTCTTCTACGACCAGTCATTCACTCACTTACCATATATTTCACTCACTGTGTTCAAGAGAAGTAATTTACCTAATGTTCTGACTTGTAACACTCGTTTATATTTCCCACGCCTTTATGCAGTGGAATTAGATAGCTGCTCTCCGCTCAGGCTCCAGTACGTGGCAGCTTTTCCAGGAAATTATAAAAAAAAAAATCACGTCCAGTCAGTCAAATTAATTCCCTTGTTTTTATTTTTGTTTTATCTATGTCATTATTATATTTTATTTTTCCACTTTTTATCTTATTTTTAACTTCTGCTATATTTTATCTGTTGTGTCTCTTCTATCTGTATTAAATATCTACTTTACTCTTTACCTTCTTCGTTTCTTGTTATCTTTATCTTCTTCGTTTCTTATCATTATCTTCCTCTCCTTATCAAATCACATCCTATCCTGGCACACCAAATCCTTATCTCTTACAGGAATAGTTTATTATTCCTCATTATCATTTCTCACAATTTATCAAACTCCCTTATTTAACTTTTTTTTCACAACTTCTCCTTCTGCTTTGTCGTCTTATTCAACATTTTCTTTAAGTTTTTTTTTTCTTTGTGTCTGTTATCATCTTTGCTGCGTAAGTGATTTATTATATGCATTTTTTTTATTCCCTCATTCGTATTCTTATACCAACCTTTACCGTTGTGGAAGTGGAAGTTGTCAGGTTCAGTATCTTAGTCTATAGTCTATTTTAATCAGTTTCTTATCTATCTTTTAAAACCTTCTCACCCTCTTACATCGCCTCCTCTTTCAATTAATTTAAAGTCTCAATTTCATCCTATCTAACACTAACTCGTGGTCAATTAAAACTTTACTCGAACCTTTCATTAAATCTACGTCACATTTCCTAAAATAATTAAATTTGTTAATAATATAGTCACCATTTGGTAGTTTAGTTATTAGTTTAAGGAATAATGATGACAGAGGGTCCCAGCACCATTGAAAACTTCCGGTAATGGACTAACAACTAACAGACACACTCAGGATATATAGTAATTAAAACAGAACAATATCTTATAAAAACAGTTCAAGTCATTCATCAGTTAGGGACAAAACTTGCTACAACCGCATGTTACCACCTGAGATCCGAAATTGTTTGTTTAACACCACAATCGCATCCAGGCCTATATGTGGTCTGACCTCGTTCAGTTGTGTCGGTAATGACTAGTGTTACTTGTGAACAGGGCTGTGCCCTTCTGAGGGCTGAGCTACTGGCCGAGTTATTGAAGGTCAAAGAAGAAAACTTGAAATTAAAGGAAGTGATAGCGAGGATGAAGGAAGAAGACACGAGACAAGGAAAGCCCGTGTCTGGCGAACTCAGGCGAATGGAAGGTTGTGAGGAGAGGAATGACCAAAATGGTGGTGAGAAAAGACGCCAAGGAAACGACAACAGCTAAGTGTAAAAACTCTTTTAGTCCTTTGATAGACGAATTGGACGTTACCATAGTTGGGGACAGGGCTGACAGGGAAGGTACGAAAACCTTAATTGTTGGCGATTCCCAGGTACGGTACCTGGATAGAGCTTTTTGTGGTAAAAATAAAAATAGGATGAGGGTGTGTTTGCCAGGGGCTGGGGTGGGGGATATAGTTGACAGGATGGACAATATCTTGTCTGGTAATGGGAACAAACCCATCATCTACCTCAGTGCAGGAGGCAATGATAGTGGCCGGTGTAGAAGTGAGGAGCTCCTTAATAAGTTCAAGACAGCTATTGAACGTATTAGGTTGAAGGGAGGGATCCCTATCATATGTGGTGTCCTGCCTAGAAGGAAAGTTGGAAATGAATGGTTGCCAGGGGCAGTTGGTGTCAACGGCCGTCTTGACAGATATTGCAAGTCAATATCAGTCCCATTCATTGACAACTGGGACAACTTTTACGGCAGAAGGGACCTTTATGCTAGGGATGGGGTGGCAACCCTGGCTGGCTCTCTCGAGAGGGCAGTTCAAAAGATGTCGAAGTCTTTAAACTACTAGGAGGTCATATGGGCCCGGAGGTGGAGGAGACTGCAGTGGGAGCGGGTACACAAAGAGAAAGGTTGCATGCAGAGAAACAGTGCTAAGAATGAGGACAACATTAAACTAGACAGAGAGTTAAACCTAAACGCGTCAAAGAGAAGACTCCGAACACGACTAACTTAAATGTCTACCACGCAAACATTAGGAGTATGAGAAACAAAATGGATGGAATTAGGGCGTTGGTATGTACCGAAAAAATCGATACAATAGCTTTCACCGAAACATGGATAAACCTTGACTCACGTGAGTTACCTGTAGAGTACCAAATTGCAGGTTACAAATTATTCCATACCGTTAGGCAGATTATGAAAGGAGGCGGAGTAGCAATATACAAGCATGTCATGGATAATCTGAAGTGTGAAATAAATAAGGAAATAAAAACTGAATTGAATACAGAAACAATTTGGATAGAATTAATCGATTGTATGGAAGAATTAATCGCAGGAGTAATATATAAACCTCCTAATGTTGATAGAGTTAGTGAGCGACTCATTTGGGATGAAATGCGTAGGGCGGCCAGGGATAGCAAGGTCTGTATAGTAACTCAGAATCAGAGGGTTTTCTTGAAACAGTTCAGGACTGTTTCCGAAGTCAACTTATAGCCAAACCCACCTGGGGTAATAATATACTCGATTTAGCTCTGTCAAACAGAGCAAACCTCATTAGTAATGTCGAGGTAGGGAACGAACTTGCCAACAGCGATCACAAAGAAATAGCATTTAAATTAAAAATTAATGGCAGTCGTAAGGAAAATTGCCATTAAAGTCCCAGATTTCAGAAGGGCAAACTTTGATAGGTTGAAAAGGCAGCTGAGAGAAGGGGTATCACATTTGGGAATGGATTACATGACTTCGCGTGAGGTGACCTCACACAAAGTACCTACAGGTGGCGACCTCACTTTACCTGGATACCTGACAACGATATCTTCACAAAATATGACTGTTGGGGATGACCTGACCACCAGATCTGAGGTTGACGAGTTCCACAACAATTTAAATAATGAGTTACTTAATGCACAAAGGCAGAACATACCATACAAAAAATTCAGATCAGACAACAATGACCCTAAATGGATAAATACTTATTTAAAGAATATTATTGCACAAAGGAAGGCGATAGGTAGAAGAATAATTCGTGGTGAAGTTTACCTCCGGGAATATTATAAGGTATTGGCCAGTAGGGTTAAAACCGAGATAAGAAAAACAAAGAGGAATAATGAACTGAAGGTAGCAAGGGAGGCGAAGTCAAACCGCAAGGGATTCTTTCAAATGTATCAAGCTAAAACAGGAGAAAAGATTGGACCAATACAGTCAGATACCGGCGAGCTAACTGATAACGACGGAGAAATGAGCAATAATCTGAATAAATATTTTTCAACAGTTTTCACCACCGAAAATTTAAACATGATACCCGAGGCACCGACTATATACAGAGATAGTGAAGAAAATAAATTAAGCGAGATAATAGTGACTAGTAACGACGTTAGTAAGCAAGTAGACAACTAAAGCCTAATAAGTCGTCAGGTTCCGATGAGATATTTGCCAGAGTATTAAAGGACTGGAAGGAAGAGCAAATTTGTTTAACTTGTATAAATGGAAGTAAAGGCCAAACAAAGGTGATATAACAAAGGTACTCAAACTATCCAACCAGGAGCGAACTCGTATCAATAGCTTTGGAAACAGAGTAGTGGATGAGTGGAACAAATTACCAAACATCACCATTAACTCGAATACGCTGGATAGCTTCAAACACAGAGTTGGGTGTAAATGGGACTAACCAGTATGGGCCAATAGGCCCGCTGCAGTTTCCTCCATTCTTGTGTTCTTATGATATAGCTACAAGAACAACCCCGTTCCATTGTTCTTTTTTTCTGTAATTAAACTTGAAGTCCTTGGTAACTCCTCGGGTCACTATATGTTAAATAACGATGTAGCAATTTATGGCTTTTATGTATTTCCAATAGTTTATAATAATAATAATTATTATTATTATATTATTATTATTATCATTATCCGACTGCTCGTATGTAAGCGCGTATTTATATCGAGTTCCACCAGTTATATAATGAGTTGGGATATATACACTGTACAAACTGTAAAAGACTTCATTGGAAAGCGAATTTCATCTTTGACTTCGACCTTTTATGATAAATATTTTAAAAATTTTAACATCCTTG